AGTTTTCTTTGCAAAGAAGAACAAAACCAGCCAAAGCGAGTGATCTTCGTTCTCCGTGCTCGACATTTTCAAACAAACTGACGCTTGTGCAAACCTGCTTGTACCGTGTAGAGGCGATGGAAATGTTTGCATGCTTGCACAATTGTATTTGTGCACGCATGCTTGACAAGTATACGTGGACGTGTGTAGCCACCTAAGGCTATTTATTATCGAGTCATGTTAATGGTAATTTAGGAAATTTGAGAAATTAAATTTAAGCCATAAAATTTAAATCATTTTAAATATTACGGATACTAGGCGCGCGTTTAAGTACCTCTGGCCTTACGCGTCTGTTGTCCTCGCTGCCTCCGTAGTGTTCACACATGAGACGTGGTGTTATGGGGTTGCACAATCCCATAACGCCACATATTATATATATATATATATATATATATATATATATATATATATATATAATATATGTGTTGTGTGTGTGTGTGTGTGTGTGTGTGTGTGTTTATACCATTTGTGCTTTATTATTACTCATTCTTATTCCCTTTCGCTCCTCTAACGAAAATTCGGACTACTCTTACTCCCCAATACTGGTGTAATATTCTAATGTGTCAGAAAGAGACAGATACGCTCGGCAATATGGCGGCGCACTCGCTCTAGCGTCTCGTTTTCAAAGCATTGAGTGTTCTCTCCAGTATAAGCATTGAGTGTTCTCTCCAGCTATATTCTATATAGAATTCTGTATATAGAGAGAGCTCGCTGAGGTAAACAAATCCGTTAGTGAACAATTCTGCCGCTAAAGGCGCTTGAATCAAACACTAAGTATGGAGAAACAGATATTTATATTCTATGTTGCAAGCTTTTTGCTTGAAAAATTACAATTATGTACGAAAGTTTTCTCGCAGAAATCGTGCAGTTTGGACTGCACGTTTTCTGAACGTCCAATCTGCACGAAAACTGTTCCGTGTACCCGCCTATCATAACAATAACTTTTGAATTTAAACAAATTATTTTAACCTGTTGGTTTTCAAATCGCCCGCCATTCTGTAAACCAAAGTTTGCAATTTGTAATGAAATCACAGTGTAAGTAAGAAATGTTGTGAATGATTCGTTTGTGTTAACGTAAACACCGGGATCAATACGAGATGAGAGGAAAACACGGTGTAGATTTATATTTTACTATTTGGGGAAAGGAGTTTCTATTGTCCCATTTACTCTAAGTGACTTCTGTGTGAACATCAGCTGGACGCGGTTATCCATTCGAAACGTGCCTTACTTTTATTTTTGATATTAAAGCTCTCGATTGGGCGTTTGCGTCAACAGCTAATTTTGTGTGTCTTGAGTCACTGTTTTTAATTGGACAATACGAACACAAAAGTGAAAGTCAGCTGTCGCCTAAAGAGTATGTTTGCTGCAGGCAAAAGGTCTTGATTTACTTCACAGAAGGTCGCAAGTTCGGATTGCGCAATTACTGCTGTCGTGCAGAGAGGTCCAGCCCAATTTGGAGGATGCACGAGTAGTTGACATACGGGTCTGTCTTTGAGAAAAAAGCTTTTGTGGACTACCCCGAAATTAAGTGATCTGTTGAGGTAAGGAAATCTTTTTTACTACGACGTATCAACGGTTATGCTTTCTTGTGGATATTGTCATTTGACTGTTCATAAAAATAGTACTTGTATTTGTTTTTTTAAAGCAAGTGTTCTGGAAAGTACCATGGTAGATTACGATTCTTTCAAGAAGGCAGCGATCCGAGGTCAGGATGAGATTGTGCCATGCCCGTATAACCCCTCTCATCAAATTAACAAGAGCAGATTGCAATATCACATTGTGAAGTGTGAAAAACAACATGCACAAAGGGAACTTGTTACGTGTCCCTATAACGCTACGCATCGCCTTCCGAAGCCTGAATTAGCAATGCATATTTTTGAATGTCCAGACAAACGAATCCTAGAAACGCACAAATTTCAGACAGGGGATGAGAGCTCGAAAAAAAATCTCCAAGAATTTATCCGTCCGTCCTTGCCACCAAGTGAGGAAAATTGGGATACCGATGATTATCAATCTTCTTATGACCCAAATGAACACATAAATAACAAGTGTGTGATAAGAAACATTCAAGGTGCCACTAAATCTGAACGGAAACAGTTTCGACGTGAAGAACGAAGGAGAGTCAATCAACTTGCTAATACCTCCGAACCTGAAGTTTCAAAGGTTGGTTATGTTCCTCCTCGACCACCAAAATCTCTGCCAAAGGGTGTAAGCAATTCGGAATTGGGTACAAGACTTGGTATGGGCCGTGGTTTACGACCTTTAGATTAAGTTCTCAGTGCTTACGAAACAGCCTAACAGAAAAGAAAAATGAAAAAATCATTGTGCGTTTTAAAATTTAAAATTTCATATATTTCACTTTTGACAAAGGCTGGAATTAAATTGATTTTTATTGAAAGTTGTACTCGTTGCAAATGATAATTAGATCAGTGTACTCGATTTTAATAAACATAGGTAATTAATCATGGTTATAGTGATTTTTTTTTATTATTATTGAGACATTTAATAACTTTTTTTAAAATGTTTAGTCTAATGATCTTCCAGATCATGTTTTATTGTGTATATGAAGTTTGAAAAATATACATTATGTAGTTTTCGAGAATTAATTTTAAAATTATTATTTTAATGTTGCGGAACTAAAATAGAGATTTATTGTATTTTAGTTCTCATATGTATATATTATGAATGGCTTAAGGTATTTGTCTGTTCAAATAACAATAATAATAATAATATCTAATTATTGCATCTCATTCGGACTTTACAAATTAATTTTAGTTTTTTTATATTTCATTACAAAAAAAATGCAGGCAATTCCTAATTATTTCATATCACATAGAATAGTAATTTTCTTTTTTAACACAATATTATTTTATTAGACACACCTGAAAAATTAGCAATTTATATATTTCTTGGTTATGGTCTCATTTTACTATGAACTCTCTTCTTGGGTATTATTCAATAACATTTGTAATTTTCGCATGCAGTTTCATGCATATTTAGTTTGTTTCCAGCGGCTCACATCTCGCAGATGTGTACAGTACTTGTGCAGAAATTGGAAATATCTCAATAACTTGAGAATGCTAGATAAAATGGTTTGAAGACCATTAAATACAAAAGGAAGAGATTTCAAATAAACAAAATAAGAAAATAGAATCTTTTCTCATTATTGTCATGAAGTTTTTGAGTAGGTATGTATTTTTAAGTGCTGATTTTTGTCTCTTTCGTCCATTCATTTCGACGAATTACAATGTCAACAATTTAAAATATTTGTAGTAAGCACAATCCTGTGTTTTGCTGACAAGCAGTCATTGAAGAGGGAAGGGGGAAGAAATGAAGGGCCATCAATCATGTTTTTGAGAAAAGAAGTTGTAATTAGTAACATACTTTGTATCATTTTTCAGTTAAATATGAAATGTTATACATCATATTTAGAATTTTACACTTTATTTCGAGGTAATCATCTACAAGTGTTACATTGTGTGTGTGATATAATAAACAAGTCGTACTTTGATGTGTTCTGCTGTCTACTTAGGCAGTTACATGACAAGATTGAATAGAGAGAAAAATAGTTTAATTTAGACATAACCGAAGTATACATTTTTTTATTAAATTACATTTTATCATGTAATTGTGTAAACAAAAGCATTTGTTTCAAGTGAATTTTTGAAGGTCTTTTTAAACTGAACAAGGATGCCATTGACATTTGAATTTAAATATTATGACATTCTGACAATGAAACTATTCTAAACAAGTCTGTTGCATTAAACACCTCAAAGTCGGTGCTTAGTGGTGCCTCTTCCACCACATTCTAATGATGTTTAAACAATTAACTTTTTGCTTGAACCATCAGGACAGATATGAACTCTTATTGAACATACATTAAGCATATTTTTCGCGCAACTTTTCTTGAACGATGGATTGAAGAAATGCGGGTAGAGTGGGGGTATTATATACGAAATCGGCCACTAGATTTTATGAAGTAATGCCAATCTCCGGAGAATCAGTCACACATTCGTAACGTTCTCAATAATTTGCGTTCTAACTGTATCAGGAGTTCGATGTATCTTCTGTGATCCATACTGGCTTGGGACATTTCTGTAGATTTTTGGAGAAAATAATCGATAGAAGTTCTCGCCTTCAAAAGAAAATAGTTTCTATTCACGCCAATGAAGATGTTTGGAATGTTGTCATCGGTGCTTGCTGTGAGTGTTTGCCTTAATTTTTTTATTGAACTAGAGAGGAGGAAGCAAGGTCATCGTTCAAGAAAAGTTGTGCGAGTAATACTACATTATCGACAAGGAATTACATAAAACTCCAATGTGTCATTCAGTTTTTGAGGCTGAGTTTTAAGACTAAAGATGTATGTCTAATATGATGAGTGCAGATCATGCAGCTTTACAAAGCTGCATGGTTTTACCAATAAACAAAATGATTTTATAATGGTGAGAGAATCTCATTGATACAGTATCTTGGGTTTTTTTAAATCATTGATGACATAAGGGCACTTTCCAAGGGTGTACGCTAACATGTCATCTACTTTTGAATAATTGTACTGCATTGCTGCACAACATTCTGCCCAGTAAACCTTGTCAACATGTTAACTGATGACAAGTCCTTCTAGCAATTGAGATTGTTATTCATTTGCCTTGCACAAGTTTTGCCTTGCTCTTCAGTTCTTTAACAATTTGAATCTAAACATATTTTGTGTGAATTTCATGTATGTGCAAATGCAAAATGATATGGAGATATTTTGTTTTAAATGTTGTAAATAAGAAAAATGAAAGAAAAAGAAAAAAGGAACAAAATAATTAAGAAGACAACCATACTAGTGTTTGGAATTTAAGTATGCATAGATTTTTTTTAACAAATAACAAACAAAATGTCCATTAATATTGCATTGCAGTAATTGCATTCCTTGTGTTAGTATGTGGAAGGGAGTGTTAGAATCAGTTTTGCCAGGTTTTAGCCATAAATTGGCGACTTTTTAATTTTCATTCGTTGCAATTAAAGTTGGACTTTTAATCTCTCGTGCTCTTTCTTGCAAGGAGAAAATTTTGTATCGTGTTCACTTTCGAGGGCAACAGTGAGTCAAAATTTACTTTATGAGAAATAAACCAGCTTCTTAAGGGCCATCAAAAAGTATTGTAATGCAATTTTGAAGTAGTCATCCTGGATGGCTGAGAGTATGTGCTGACTAAGCTCTTCGATCCAAAGGACCATGGGTTGGGCACGGTTGTTTGTCCCTAGCCTCTCGTGTGTGTGTGTTGTGAAGTTCTGCTGACCCCAGATCAGAGGAGCGTGCAAGTGTGTTGGTGTCTAGTATGTGGTTGTGTTCCATCAGGACGTAAGGGGCTGGAATAAAACCCTGGGGAAAAAGAACTGAAATAAAGTGAATTTTGAATACCCTCCCCCATAAATAATTATGTAGCGCTTGAGACCCCCCCCCCTATAATTTTTAATGAGTAAAAAAAAATAACTGTAAAAACAATTTGTATTAATTTCATGCGTTCAATTTTGTGTTTGATATTAAAGTTTATGATAAATTATATCAGAATCCATTGATGATGGTTATTGCAACCAATAATAGGAAGGGACAAGTGAGAAGATTTCTGACAAGCCATGTACATGTCAACAAGGGGGACATGTGGGCAAGACTACTGTGCAGATTTAATTGGAGTCTAGAATGCACTATAGATTAGTTTAGAATGTTTTCTTTGTAATCACAGATATTCAATCAATATACTATTGGTGAAGAGATTTTCTTCTATTATAACTTGCATTTTTAATATGTATATGCTTAGAAACAAAAATGTAAATGTTATGTATATTTGTAAAATTAAATGTATAAATATTTGTTTTGAAATATACATCATGATCTAATTTTATTTCAGGTGTTTTTATTTATACCCATATGTGTATTAAATATTAGTCCTAAATTCAAACAATTTCGTTCATTTTTGTTTTGGTGTTTTTTGCAGTGATTTATGGAGTTAAATGCTTCAGTCGACCTGGGAACTCTATTTTGAATTTAAAACTATCCATTTAATTTATTTCTTTTAAATTTCTGTTCACTTCTGTAAATGAAAAGAGTTATTTGGCTCTTTCTGTATTTTTCCAAGGATGAACTTTCACTTATTAATTCATTAATATTTATTTACGAAATAAGTATTATAAGACAATAATAAAACACAAATATTCTTTCATTTTTTTGGCAATAAGAATGATTTTTGTCAAAAATAGTCTTATTTTCCCTGTATGGTTATTTGCAGATTGCTTACTTGCATCCAGGTGTGAACATGTAATAAAAATAATATGTCTACAGTTAAAAATTTAAAAAATTACCAAGTTTGAAGATATCAAGAAAAAGAAATCTAAAATAAAAATTACAAAGAAAACTAAAATAATTTAAAAATTAAGTGTAATTGGAAACATATATAAGTAGTAAATATAAAATGGATAGGAGAAAACTTACCAAACATGATTAATTATTTACATGTTATATATTTATAGAACTTAAATGTTTTAAAAAAAAGGATAATTCCAATCTCAAAAATTGGGGAAAATTCCCATTATAATAACATACATTCCCATTGTGTGGAAAGAGGCAAGTATGGACAGGGAGGGAACAGACTAAGGTTAAAGATAGTCATTATTTTGAATGTACAGCAATGAAAGCAAGTAAAAGAATCAGAGATGGAAAGGGGAGGGAACAGATCTAAACCATAAGTATACTAATAAAATTGCAAAGGCAAACAAAACCCAACATAAAATACATAAATAGGTATTTTAGAAAGAATATTGTCATGTGATGTCGTAGGCTTCTGCGGCCAGTCATGATCTGGGCTGTCCGGGTGACACTGCGTCGATGGCTGATGTGCCGACGTTTCGACCGACATATCACGGTCCTCTTCAGGGCGCCTCTCTTGGCGCAGTACAGCCCTGAAGACCCGGACAGCCCAAATCAATATCGTCATGTCAATTGTTGGTTGAAAGATATCATTTAGCATGGAATTAATGTTCTTTGTATTGACCTTTTTGAACACTATTTACTGCAGGCCACAATTACTTTAAGTAACAATACTAGGTGTTAATGCAATGTGTCAATGCCTAGCATTTTCTATATCAAACACACACAAAATATGCATAAATAAATTGATAATAGGATTTTGATGCTTGATTTACAGATTTCAGTATGTAATTATGTTATAACAAAAATTTAAGAATTTTATGCTGTAAAAAATACTGAGCTGTAATGGGTTAATAGAGGTCAGAAGTTCAGTTCATTTATTTTTACTAAAATAGGCTTGCAAAAAAGGCATTTATTTTGGCTAAAGTGCGGGTTAAAACAAAGGAAACATTAAAATAACACCATTTAAAAGTAATAAGTGTAAAAAATAAATAATTAAAATTATGTACATTTTTAATCTAACTCTAAAATTTACATTAGCATTCTCACAGAAGGAAACTACCTTCTCTTTCTATACTTGATTGTACATGACCATCTGGTATGTAGGCTACTTTATTTTACTCTCGACAAAATAATATTGTGAACTCCCTTTTGAATCTTGAATTTTTTCTTTCTAATTCTAATTCTGCTTTACAGGATTTTTTGGTGAATTTCAATACTACATTATATACAAAAACAAAAAAAATTACATTTATAACAGTAATATTGCCCAGTAACAACTCAACTGAATCTAAATGTAAGTTCTTGTGGTGAATGTCTTCATAGTCATCTTCTGGCTTGACTGTTATCCAAAAGGTTCAGCATCAGGAAGTTTGGGTGGACCGCAAGCCTGCGCTGATATCTGCGTATGTAACTAGTTACTACTTTAATGATTTTTATTTGTAAATCATTATGAAGGATTGCATTGGAAATATACCAAGGAGCATTTGCAGCGATGCACAGAAATTTAGATTGAAATCTTTATCAGTTATCAATGTCTGAATTACTTACAGTGCCCCATTAATTGGTTACCGTATGTCGAAATTGGCATTAACTGCATTTGGCAAACAAATCTGGTTTTAATGTGTCATAATAGTTGATTTGCTTCCCAGTAGCCAGTACATTTTTTAAAATCTGAGTTCTGATTCTTTTCTTTTGGTGGTTATGTGCTGTTTTCATATTAATCATCTGTCAAGTTGCATTCCTAGCCATCTGTGACTGTAATTTATTATTCATTGTAATTGAGGGGCAAGTTTTCATTTTGTAGGTGGAAGTCACATGAGTAGGTTTTATTTAATGAATTCGAATTCTCCATCTTTTAAATTTTGTTGATAATTTGTTTAAATGTTCCTTGAGCAATTCTGAGGCGTTTTCATGATCTTAATGAGAAGTTAGAACCACTGTGTTGTCTGCATATGTTGCGATAGTGATATTTGCAGACTTTGGAAGATCTTTATATAAATGGATTATAGGACCCAGCATGCTTTGTTGGGGTACGCCAGACTTAATGGGAAATAATATTGTGTTGTATGCTTCTTGATGTTTCACTTTAAAAAAATCGGTTACAGATTTTACATCCTAATTTGTAATGGATGTTACACGTTACAACTCAATGTAACATTTAACATAAATTTTTCTTAATATCATCAAATTATAGTAATTATAATTACTTTAATTTTATATTGTTTTTTTAAGAAAAATAACTTATTTCATTCTGAGTTATTAGTAAAACTTGCCAAAAAATGTTTCTCATCATATTTCTCAAAATTATTAAATTTCCTACACCCAGGTATTTCTTTCACTGATTCCTGTCTCGTGTTTAGAAAAGAACTTGTACTTGAAATTGAACATTACATTTTTAAAATTTAATACGTTTCGGGTTTATTTATCATGCAAGGCTCGCTTTTCAATACTATAACACATCATTTCCAGAACTGATTTTTGGGTTAATAAAATTTACAAATGTGGGAAAAATCATCATTCAGAGTAAGTCTTCACATGGTCAGGGCACAACTGGTGAAACTTAGAACAAGAAAGTTTAATTTTACTTTTTTCCTCATGAAGTGAATGGAGTTCTGAAATAGTCAAAAGAGGTAGCATTTTTACATTCAAACTCTCTGTCATTTCTTTTTTGTTTTTAACAGACACATAATTCCTTTTACTTGGTACTTGCCAGCTTACGTCATCTGATCCAAAAAAAACTTTTTGACATTCTCTTACGCCTTCAGGCATCATGCCACATCTTGACCTTTTTGTGACATTATAGATGTCAACTATACCACTGAATGACTCTTTCTAAGCTGACGAACTGCTTTTTCTTTAATGGGTTATTTTGAAGGTTCTTCTTGATTTACATACTGCTTTCGTAAGAGTGCTTTTTGCTGCATATAAACCTATTGTTTAATCAGGTGCTTTCATTTTGTTTTGCTAATTCTTCATAAATTTCTTTTTATGCTAATTCTGAATTCTTATTCATGTTATTTCTCTTTTTCTGTTTTAACATTTTTTCATCATTTAAACGTTTTTTATCCTCTTGTCTTTTCAACAAATTTCTATTTCTATCTTTCCCAAGAAATTCTTTCCATTTTCGTGGATTTTCGTTCTTGAACTTCTTCCTGTATTTTGCAACTCTTGCAACAGAAGATGTAGGATCTCTACAAACAAAAATGAATGGTATATTTCTTTTCTCATTGTAAATGATAAAAATTAGAAAAGCATGACTGAATAAAATTATATGATTTCAGATACACACCAGAAATAATTTATTCTTTAGGACAGAATGAGTAATTAATAGAATAATGTGGATAGTTAATATTATGTATGTAATATTTGGCGCGACAGACCGTGAACGGGCTAAGGCCTACCGGGCCGGTAGTACCGGCGACGTCCCTGCCTCGCGGCCATGGGTTAAGGAGGTACGTGTGATTAGCACAGAGAGTATACATCACGTAGCACGTAGACATCCCCTCGCCGTATTCCGGTCTTCTCAACCTGAGAAGTGGATTTTCTCATCGTCACACAGCAACGTATACATTGCTACGAAAAACGTACACTATAGTCTTGGCTCGACCAGGAATCGAACCCGGGGCCGCGTAGTGGAAAGCAAGTACGCTGATCAAGAGTAGTCACGAGCCGATAATTAACATTACTGATAATTAAATATAACCGAAACAGATTAAGAGGCTATGAAATCATTATATAACATAAAAAACATACAAATTTAAGAAAATAACTCTTAATTGTATAATTTAAAAAAATTAATAAAATCTATGTAACACCTAAAACACTGATACATAAAAACTCTTAATTTAAAAAATTCATTTTTTGTTATAGTTATGTAGAAGTAGTTAATTATAGAAGCCTCGTCACCAGAATATCAACTTAACATTATAAAAAAGGCATAAAAGATACTTTTCAAAAATTTTTGTTACATTGAATTTCACAACTCTAAAAATTTAGTTTAACAAATATTAGTTTCCAAAGTGTTTATGGAAATTAAAGAAAGCCGAAGCCAATGTATTAATCTACAATCTCGATACTATTTTCAAGCAGAAAACAGTTTAACCGCTACAATAAGTATATGCAAACATTAAATTAATTTTAGACTAAATATTTATTGGCTAAAATGCTTGATTTCAATAATTGAAAGAGCTCTTGAAAACTGCATTTTGTCAATTTTAAACATTTTTTATTCTCTTATAATTTAGCATGGGTCGCACATTGTGAAGTATAAATTAAAGAATTTTTTTTTTTACATTAGTGATTTGTATGCAATGCAGTAATATATTTCTCGTTATACTACGAATAATACTTGACGACTCCCGGCTGCCAAGGGAGAAGGGGTTACATTTTTAAATATGTAACGCTGCGAGAAAATCACTTATTAACAGGACCCTGGCAACGATAAAGTGGATAAATCGAGATGATAAATGTAGAAAAAAAATTTCTAACACGTGGTGTAACCAGAATCCATGATATCAAAAATCGATTGACGGACATCTGTCAACAACTCAATCGGCTAATCTGTTCAGCCGGTTTTCTCCAAAATTGATATTCCCCGATCGGTCTGACTGATTTCGCGGCCCCTTGAATTTGAAATCGATACTTTAATTTTGGAGGATACTTTACATGAAGTGGCACTATCGATTTTGATTAATTTTTGTTGTTGAATAGTCTGAAAAGGCCGGCAACAGACTACACCGAGAGATGCGTTGCCAGAAATGTGCGACGAGAAATAAGGAAAGAGGCCGGTGAGGCTGCGTCCACACGCTAGAAATGTCATTCGATGTCTCGAAATGCCTTTATGTGCAACAAGCCGCGAGTGGTGACCAGATATACTCTTTGGTGACAGCAGTTAGCTATGAGATTAGTTGCGAGTCCCATTTTATGTTTTATAAAATGCTGTTGCGTAATTTTTACCCGTCAAATCCTTGTTTTGTTACCATAATCGTAAACCATCTGTTTAACGAGTTGCAATTGGCTATTGCCCAAATAATAATCAAAATCTACGGAAACTACCATTTTTTCTTGAAGATGTTGCTTCATCAATGGACCAAAAAGAAACACCCCTTGGAATATTTTTTAGATCTTTCGAAAACTTTAAACGTTATTCACCATAGCACCTTGCTATCAAAATTATCTTCTTATGGAATTAGTGGTATCGCCCTAGATTTCTTAACCTCGTACCTTACACATTGATCTCAAAGAGTAGAAATACCGTACTGGTACGAAAGGGCATTATTTACTTATCTTTCCAAATCTTTACCAATTAAATATGGGGTCCCGCAAGGATCGATCTTAGGTGCTATCCTCTTTCTATAATATGGAAGAGAATGCTTACGTAATAAGAAGAGAAGCAAACGATACGCTCTCGTCTATTAAAAACGGAAGTACGGTTCTGTTTGTCGATGACACGAATCATTTTTGCAAAAAAAGAAAAAAATAGATTTTAGAAGTTTCAAAATGGTTTTGTAATAAGAAGTTAATAGTTAACGAAGGAATAACAGTTTCAATGCATTTTTGAATTTCAAATCAGCAATCTCAAGCTCCATTGAAAATGAACAATATGAAATTAGGTGATGTTAAGGTAACAAAATTTCTAGATCTCTCAATTCAGTCAAACCTCAAATGAAATGTACATAGAATTAAACACTAAGGACCGAATTCATAGTTGTCACTTAAGCCTATTTTACACGGTCTTTGTCATTTTTCTGTACAGAAAGTGGATGGTAACAAATGAAGTTAGGTTATATTAGGACCGAGCACGGATACAATATTAGAATACAGTACATACTTTATTTCTCAGTACATAACCACTTCACATTACAATTCAATGCATCAGAACACTCTCACGCAACTTCAAAATAAACATATCGCTTCACAAGCATAACAAACAATAGAAAGTTCCGTAAAGTGCCGCCAGGAGTGCGGTAGCCAAACTGGATGAAATCTGTACCGAAAAATTAAGCATGCGTCATATTTTCGTACAAATTATTTTCAGTCTGGTTTGTATCTTTCTCGAACCGGCGAAAAGTGATAAAAAATGATCGTCTAAAACAGGTTTTATAGGATAAGCGAACCCTTAAGTGATAAGTGCTTTCTCAAAATAAGTGTTTACTTATAAGCATGTCATTATGTTACGCATTCAGAATTCTTGCAAATTCTGCCAGCCTTCATGCAGCTCGTTGCGTGTATTTTGCAAATGTGCATTCCCGCCTGAGGTATGGCATAATATTCTGGGGAAGCTCATCATGTCGTACCCAGACCTTAGATTGCAAAAGAAAATTATTCGAATAATGAAAAAATGCCATCCGCGTGATCCCTGCAAGCCTTTCCTCGTTGAACTTGGAATCTTGCCACTGCCTTGCCTATATATTTACGAATCAGTAATATTTGTCAAAACTGACTTACGGAATGGTGGGAACATATTTTCAAGCAATAATACAACAGCTATCAACTACTAGCTACTACAGCAGCTATCAACAGCTCACTACTAGAAATCCACATACATGTACGTTACTTCACAACGCAATGCCAGATGACATTAAAATTGAAGTCGGTTAACAAATTTAAGTTAAAAGTACAATATTTTCTGCTGCAGGACTGTTTCTATTCAATTAGAGATTACACTGATCATAAAAAAAAAATATTTATTTTAAAAAACAGTTACGTACAGAATTAGCTTGCATTTGTATTGTATAATTAAAAAAAGACTTAATATGTTTGTAAAAAATAATGTACTTCAGCTTCCGAGTCAATGGCCCCCATCTAGATCAGATGTTTGTCCCGTTTCCCTGATACATTGAGCAAATGCGGAGATTGCCCCTTGTTTTGCTTCTGGGCGTAAATGTGGCTTCACTATGCGCACGTTTTGTTGAACTCTCTTTTTGCTTAAAGTGGTAGGCGTAGAGGTAAGGGCGAGTTACTACTTTGTTCGCAATGCAGAAAAATCAAAACTGCAGTTCGTTTACGGTTGCAAATAAGTTTTCTAAAACTCGCGAACGAAAATGTTTACTTTTTCAAATGTTGCTAATCTCGCGTTTTTTAAATTTTATTTTTGTTTATTAATTTATCTTTTTTATTGATTTTTCAAATATTTGTAGTTAAAATGATGGGAGGGGATTCTGGAACTCAAGAAAACGTGCGCTGATGATCTTCTCCCCCATACGTCACGTGAAGTTTTTACTGTCTTTTTGTCTATGTAAATCTAAATACTTCTGTGTGCTTGACAGATGAGGTGGGGGTACTGCGATGTTGTCACGTGCTCGGGCGGCAGATACGTAGTCGTGTAGTCGTTCTTGCACCCGTTCACAACACTCGCAAGAAACAAAACGCAATAAGAGCACACAACCGGCGACCGCACACGATAGAGTAGAGATATATCTCTCCTCTATGCCGCACACACGATGCATAACAAAAGAAGTAGTGGCGCTCTTAATCTTACAGCTGTTTTGCGCTATGGGAAAAACATTTTCTTAACAAATATCGGCAACTCTGCAGTGACATCATCACAATTTTAAACTTCTGATTGGTTGACATTACACTGTAAAACATCTCTGTCAAAGATATTTAATAAAAGAAGATATGACCGTGCAATAGCTAATATTTTATAAAAGATTTCTTGAATAAAATGTAGCCTAAAACGTCCAAGTTTTATCATAAATTTGGTAACATGGCGTCCGATAGGTATACGTGAGGTATTGCTTCAACCTAAGTTTTAATTGTAGAGTGTGAGCAATTAGAATGTTTATGTAATACTGTTCATCCTGACTACAAAAATAAACGAACGCGAATGACATATTTACCCAAGAAAGTCAAGACCCGATTTTTAAACTATCGCATTTCTCGTAGATATGAATATCGACGCAATATTATATCATTTCTTTCTATCATTTTTTCTCGCTTTTCAAATTGAAATCCCATTTTTATCAATACGCGATTAAATGTAGAATATTTGAAATTTGGCAAATATTAATCATTAACATCTTCCATTACACACACCATTGTTGCACAAACGATTTAATATAGAAACTATACTTATTATGTTTCTAACGTGCATAGGAAGTTTGCTAAACTTTTCTAGACATCGATTCATTTTATATTGATAAACTAAATGGAAGATTGAGATGTTCTACCCTTCTCTACTACAGCATGTGCTAGAAAAAGTCCATTCTATGTCACCCTTAATGTTTTACAGCTATGTTTTCACCATTATCATAGGTATTTGTAATATTGGCGTTATTTTTAAATTATTGAATAAAAAATATTACACGAATCTTGAATCGTACATTGACCATTAACGTAGACTTAAAATCCGGGTATTTAAACGTACTAGGACTTCATACTGGTACATGGTATTTTCATAAAATAGGGTTATCAGACATCCTGATTTATTAGGACATGTCCTGATTTTTGGACCTTGGCCTGATTTGTTTTCAAAAGTCCTGATTTTTTATTCTGTGCTATCTTTTTTATTGTTTATTGTGACTTTAATGTTTCTAACATAAATATACAAAAAATTAAACTGCTTTAGAGAAAAAAGTAATATTTGAAGTGAAACTTTGTGTTTCTATCTATAAGAACAATAGGTACTGTGCCTTATCCTTATAATGTCCAGGAAATACTGAAACAGAAAAAGGAAAAATCCTTATTCATAAAGCTGCCATTGACATAATTTACCGTTCAGTGCAGAATTAGCATATAAATTTCTCTCTCTTCTGCAGTAGTACAAAAATTGTACGTATGTATGTCATTATAAAAAATATCCTGAAATTTTGCGTAATGTTCTGATTTTTTCAACTAGATCTCTGGTAACTCTGCATAAAAATACCAGGATCCTGGTACGTCTGGCAACACTGAACGGACGTGAGAAGCGTCGCTGACATAAACTTCCGAATTTTAAGGTGTTTGAACACTCGCCGAGTTACTTTTTGGTAAAGAAGTCCAATGGAATAATCAACTAAAGTCGTTTTAAAGCAATTTAAAAAAGTAGTCATTCGACTGAAGAAATATTGTTTGATAAATAAATGGCGATGGTTGTGGCGCTTCCAGAAGTGTTAGCTGTGATGGCGTGATGGATCTCTCTTCATCAGAAACAGCTAAGTAATCGCCAGATTTATTTTATTACACAATATCCTGGAGGTGGCTGCTTAAGTGAATTTTATTAAATAGCACTAAATAACAAACAAGAATAATAAACTGTTTATGTTTTTTGTTTCCAAGGATAAATTGTTGATTTTTTGTGTATTTAATTAGAAATGTGTGGTTCGTATTTTTGTTTGTTAATTGAGAAAACAGAAATAATCTGGATTATTTGGAGGAATTCTTTCAAGATAATTATGAATCAGACGTTCATAATTTACAGCAATCCGATTTTGACAAATCTTCCAAATAACCCAAAAGTAACTTTTCATTTACGAAATTCGCACTATTATTTTCCATCTATCTTTCGAATAAACTATATTCCTTTCCTTGCTCTTCTTTTGAGTTCTGGCTGTAATTAAACTGACCATTGCCTTCTTGGTTCTTTCGAGACTTTCTGCGGGAACTTTATAATATTATTTCATTTTGTATACACAAATCAGTCCCACTACAATTGTGAAATAGTAATTAGATAAGTATTCTGTTTTTCCTGGTGCCGTATTGACAACTATTACAAGGAATATTTTCACTTTTGATGCAAAGAAAATTTTAATGTTCCGAATTCTCGTTTGGGTCAGCAATGAACTAGTAAGACATTAAGTTTTGAATGCACTACAAGCGTTAATTGATGTTTTTGTCACCCACGCAATTTCCAATCTCTTAGGGCAAAAACATTAAATAATGCCTTAGATAATTAAATATTTAATATTCAGAAACTTAAATAGAAGAAACGAAACCATTTCAATTACTGTATTTTCAGTATTTCATTTTCGCATTTTCTGAATTTCACTCTCGATCTTTCTGAATACTAAGAATTAAAAGAAATATTTGATTTCAATATACAACTTTGAAATTTATAAATTTCTCAGATTGGACAGACTACGAGTGGTAGGAAGAGACATTCAACCTGTTTGCATGATCGTTTACGTTTACATCATCGTAAACTTTCTGGCCACAACTTCAAATATCAGTACCTCTTCCTACATTATTTTGCTAATTTTCGCTACTTGTTCTCCATAAAATTGTATTTTTGTTTTCTTGGGTTGCTCCAATTGCCGATGTGCCGTTTGATCTAGTGGCATTATTTGAGCGAGTGGCATCCAATCATAATAATAAATGAGTTTATCACTAGAAATATTGGGCCTATCCATTTCCATTTTTATTGTTATTACGATCCCATTAATTCCAAGACAGTTATTTTTTAAGTAATTTAATTATAACATTCATATTTATTCTGATTAGTGCAAAGATTCGACGATAGTTGTTCGTCTCTTTCAAGTACTAGACGAAATATTTAAAATATTTGATTCATTGAGAGATCAACTTCATATTTAAAAGCTCTTCAACATTACCACAGAGATTAATGTTCTTTCAATTCTTTATCGCGAAGGCAGCTTCAGGTTACAAGCTCTTCATGAAGTTCGATGGGTTTGACATGATGAATGAACACCATATCTTAGCAGCATGTTGAGATGTTCAAGCTGATGTAGAAACCATTTGATGATCCATTTCCACTTAAAATTTCTTATTATCATGTCAATAACCATCTCTAGCCTAGGAGGGCGCAAAGGGGCCAGGTGAGGGGGCGTTGCTTCCCCGAAAAGTTTGAAACGGGCCCGTAGACTTTCGAAATAAAACATTTTATTACCGTAAATATGTGTATAATATATGTTCCAAATATTAATAGGTACAATATTTGTGCTTGAAATATGAATTAGAAACAAATTTTAATATGACACTACAGTAGTGTACAACAGAAAACATATTATGGTAAATTTAAAAGATAAACAGATGATCTTTGACTTACAAAATGTAATTTATACAGCAAAATGTCAACAATGCTCTAAAGTGTACAATGGACAGATTAAAAGAAAATTAAAATTACGAATGTCAGAACGTATTATGAATATTAATGAAGTCTCACAGAGACAGAATTTTATATCTACACATTGGGAAATAATATTGATTTTACTAATGGTAGATGCATTAGTAATTGAGCAAAGGCAATTTTCTAGAACTGCTCTTGAAACTTTATACATAAATACTAATAATAGTTTTAATACACAAGTTGAACCCAATGTTTTTACGAATTTATACGATTCACTTCTCCATAATTTTTGTATATTTCAGAATTGTTATAATTAATATATCTGTGCACGTTGCACGCTGTATCAGGTATACAATTACCTGTTCTCTTTATAAACTACTAGATGATCCGGTGAACTTCGTATCACCTACATCTGTCTATATAATCAAAAATAAATTGCTGTTCGTTCTTCTCGCTAAAACTGGAAAACGACAAACCGATTTGGCTAATTTTGGTTTTAAAATATTCGTGGAAGGCCAAACATTTGATGTTCATCATGTTTTTCAACCACGTCCCGGAATATCTAATCATTATGTTACGGATAATTATGTCAACAAATAAGTACCTACCTAGAATTTCTTTTTCAGTCAGCTGTATGTAACTCGTTTATAATTATACTTTTTTGCACTCATAAGAAGTACCTAGTGTCGTTCATTTGCTAATATTTTCTTATTTAGACAAAAATTCAATATTGTAAACTAGTTGCATAATCTGCTATTAGTAGTCATTTTCGAAACTTGGTAAGCGAATTCTGTAAATTACAGTTGTCCGAAAGAATTTGATTCTGCCACCCACCCACAGGCACGTTGCAAGTACCCAGGGCGTAGTTACGTAAAAATAAAATAATGGCGATGGGTGGTCGAGTTGCCAGTGGCGACGTTACAGGGGTGCTCAGTTCATGACGACTAATAGAAAAAACTAGTCATCTGAAAGACTATTCGTTTATTTTGTGTTCAAATGTCTGCTTTAAATAAACACACAAAATTATAAAATAGGTTAGCATCAGATATTTCTTAAACGTGTTCAAAGTATGCTATATCACGAAGGAAAATAAAAATATCGCTTTTATTTATATCTAGATTTTTAAACACCCGCGTAAGAATGTTCGTATTTAGTGCTACTGCGATGAGGTACTTATCGAAGTTTATCATTCATAATCTCAGTATCTTTCTTGCTACAACAGTGCGAAATTGGTGCTACAAGTTGGTGAAACAGTCTCAGAAGAAACAGTTCTGGTTAAAGACTTACAAAAGACGAACAGAAACTTGCGAACAAAAATTGAGAAAATACTGTGAATAACTAAGAGCTTTCTATAGACATCGAGATATCAGACCCTTATGTCGTCACAGGCTGTCGTACCTCAAAGACCACAAAGCGATGATAGTGATGAGTGCTATGTGAGTGAAAGCTTTTAACTAATTCATTATTGATATTTTTGTGTCATAAGTGCTATTTTTTTCGATGTTTCAAGCAATTAACTTAACGTCACCATTTCTGCTTATTTTCCATACTTCTGGCGGTGTTAATTCTATTTGCAATTCACTAACGCTCAGCATTTTAATATTATGCGTTGATATTAGGCGGCTTTTATAAAAAAATACTCGTACAATCCTGAATTCCGTAGAAAACGAAAACACTTGCATTAATTTTTCTTGCGGTCAGCCATGTTTATTGAACTACTACATGAGACAAGTAGAGTCAAACTTACACGTAGGATTCCGCGGCTTGAATGCATGACTGGGTTTCGGACACCAACACACGCGGACAGATACCTCCACGCGGATTCACATCACCATCCGGTTACAAAACTGCGGGGGTTGAAGACACTGACCACGAGGCCTCCGAAGGTGTGCGACGAGCGCTCTCTTCCTGATGAACTCGAGAAGCTTGAACACACGTTTAGAACCAACGGCTACTCCCGATCGGCGGTCAAACGAGCGCTCGCCTGTGCTACGGGCCATTCTAAAGGGCGCGGCGGTTCCGAAGTTCGCGGCAACGACGAAGGTCACCACGCGAATTCGGAGACAGGGGAGACGGTCAGTACTCGATTAGCCATGCTTTCGTACGTCCGCAGATCGCGTGGGAAAACTACTACGGAAGAACAACATCCGGACGGTTTTCATGGCACCCAGCAAATTTCACAAGGCCCTGGTACGCATCAAAGTCGCGTTACCACCTCTCCAGTCGGCAGGCGTATACGAAGTTCCATGCAGCAGTGGCAAAACGTACGTCGGTGAGATAGGGCGCACGGTATCTGAACGACTCAGGAAACATTATCAGACATTACAACAAGAACCAAGCCCAACGTTCGCATATAGTACCGAGGTCACTGGACTTGCAATTGAATTTGACAAGACCCGCCTCCTACACAGCGAAAACCGGTATTGGCCTAGACGCATCAAAGAGGCATTAGAAATTAGTAGACGGCCGCACAACATGAACGCGGATGCAGGCCTTAATCTAAGCAACGTCTAGATTAGAAGACATTCTACCACCAATTCGTGACTGCTCGGGGGTTGTTCAATGCCGTCCGACCACTAGGACGGCTTGGTGCGAGGTCCGGGTTGGCCCAGACCGCGAGCCAATCAGAGGGACCTCTCCGACAATCACTGCGCACCTGCGTCACTCGAGCACCAAGGTTGTAAAGCATATAACACCGGAGGCGCAGCATTACTGTGTCACTACCCTGAAGAAGCCTGCGTCATGACAGGCCTCTCAGCCAACGACGCGGCGTCACCCGGACAGCCAAGAAGTCATAACTCAACTTAGAAATGTTCTAGCAAAATACCGGCATTGCCAGTGCTTTCGTCATATGCAATTCTTGTGAAAGAAGCTGATTATCAATATTATATGAATCACAGAGTTTAATATTTGTAATGTAATTGGTTCAAATTTTAATCCTTTCCCCTCTTATCTTATAATTTATTTAATTTAATATCTCTTTTTAATTTACCTTATTGCTTAATTATAATATTGGATAGCTAGGTTTTTCTTTATGATGCGCAATGATACATCTCGGGGTTGAATACTTCTTCTTCTTTGTGAGCCTGAAAATAACCGCTCTTACGAGGTAGTAATTTTTACTATGATGGGAAATTGGATTTTTCTGGTTTATCTTGCCATGCATTTTCTAAATATTGTTCTTCTTGTCAGGATCTACAGCCCGCTTCAGGCCAAGACCGCCTTAACCACTTTCTTCCATTACCTTTTGTACCTCGCTGTCCTCCCAACTGCGATCCCCGAAGCACTCGTATGTATTCCTTCTCACAATCCATCCATCACGTCCCTGGTCAACTTCCCTTTCAAGCACTACCGGGTCTATCGAAGGTTGACTTTCTACAAGGGTCCCCCTCATGAGTCCGCCGACCTTTCTGTATCTGCCCCTTACTCTCATTTTACGTCTCCTCTCGTTAATTTGCTGAAAGTCCATTACTTGATTTTTGACTCTATTATTCCCTATAAATCCCGTTCCGTACTTGTAGTTCTTATCATTACAACTATAGTATAAGATATAGTCCTTCTCCAATATGTTTTCCCTGCACATCTTATTTCCTACAGTGTTAAAATATAAACTTTGTACTCTTAAAATATTCCAGATAAGTTCTTCAGAGCTCCTTCCCGATACAATGACAATACATTCCATGTTCTCAATAGTAGGTCCTTGTCCTTGCTAGGTCGTCTTAGAGATCTAGGTCCGGTATCTGTGGTTTCTAACTTCGTAACAATTATTTTTACAGTATTGGTTTGTGTGACGTCATGGATACTCACAGCGACCACAGACACAGAGCTTTCGTATAACAATATATTTAATTAACAAAGAAAACAAAACAAATATATACACTTAATAATCTACTTACACCCTAGCTCTGATAGACCTAACTATCCCCTGATGCGGGAGCGATCCAAACCGATTGAAGATGATTTTGATTGTGGCATTCGCCACTCCTACTTTTGAAGCGCGCACAAAGCGCTAGCTTCCGTGACCGATGTCACGCTGGGACACAAAGTCTTCTGGCGCACCAACGGCTGGTTTGCCGTCGATCGCAGGAGCGATCTTATCCGATTGAGAATCGGCGTGAATCGTGGCACTCAACCACTTCTTCACCTCGGAGCACGCACACAGCATCGCTCCCCCGTGACCGCAGTCACCCAAGGACATAAAGTCCGCAGGCTTCGTCAACTAATGACTCCAGCCTCGCAGCCTGGCTCGCATATGCACCGTCTTGGCGCCAGTTTTGTGCACACGCGGCAGAGTTCTCCCACCGTCTCCAGAACCTCCCTACTGGCTCTGTACACTCTGTTATATAGGCGAGGCCCACGTGACCTCCTACGTCACGCCACCCCCTCGCTTGTTATAACAGTGCAAAGCTTCTATAAGCCGGAAACTCCCAAAGCCGTGTGTCTCCCCCATTCCGCGTTCTTCCCTTTACGGAAAAATCCTTCTTCCTGTGGCGAGACTAATCCGCTCCCAAGCTTCCCCAAATAGATGTCACGAGGCACGCTGGCTAATACGTTACATTTGTTAACCCAATGACCAACCCCTTGTAAGCTTTTGGGGCCTGGGATTGTTTTTCGGGGTGGCCTTCGCTAGGAGGGCTGGTTTCACACCTTCGGAGACCCCACCGAAGTCCCTTCGGTTTTCTGTTAGGGGTTTCCCTCGCTTGACCTATTCCCTACCCGGAAGGTAGCGGGGCAGCGCATAAAGCTATGTGTGAAGACGGCCATTCGCCTCTGCTGCCGTTGGAGTGCCACACACTCTGTTCCACCTTTGGAGCCGTTGCCGTCCTCTTCTTTGGTTTGGCCCGCCCCGGGTATTTAGCCCGGGCAGTTTCTAAATAACAATTAATCTGGTAACTGAAATTACAGCGGCTATGACTACCGACAGTAATTATTAATTTAATACATTTTCTTTGCTTTTAAAGTTGTCAAATTTAAAATTTATCTTACGAACTCTGTAGAAAACCGTTGGTATGTTTATTTTTATTGAATTTCACTGGTTTTCCTACTTATTATGTCCATCGTCAGTTCACTTATATTATTGTAAACTTAATCTAACTTATTTTAATCAACATTTGTGGCCTTGTACATTTTATACCCTTGCTGTCCGAAATTCTTAAATTTGGCTTTTCCCAGTTAAATTATAGCTCTCTTGGCGATGCGTCGAAAAACACCGAATGAACACCGTTCGGTTTATCCGACGTATAGTTCCATTTGATTGGGTCGTCCAAAAACCTTTCGTCGCTGCACCGCGATTTTATATAGAGTTCGCACTTTTGTAAATTAACTTATAACTCGTTAACTATCCGCCGTTTGCAAAAATAACAAGTCATTATAATTTAAACTTTACTAGATTTACACTGTGTACCGGCATTGCAACCTGCACTCATCGAGACACCACATCTTGCCCAAAAATTCACTTCAAGCAACTCATCTTGCTCTTGCTTCTTTTGGTTTCATCTAATTCATTGACTTCGATGCTATTCTATGGTTTTGCCCCATCCGAGATAATTTGTCTCGTGAACAATGTCTTTCGTAAAAATATATACTAATTTTAAAGATCGTGGTAATCTACCAATATATTATTAAAATTATTCATTTTCCGCATTTGTTGTTTTAATCTTTGCCAAACTTTGCAAAAGCAATCCAACAATTCTGAAGAATAGTAAAAAATGTATCCTTTCATACTACTTTTATATCAATGTCGGGTACATGTTGAATTTACTTTTATTTGTATAGATTTAAACAACCTTAGCACTACCAGTACTGTGCAGTAGTAAAGCGTACCCCCTGAAATCAATAGTCGAGTTGGTACACTGCACTTCGAGCCAGCTTGAGCGTAACTTTTATGTCACAATTTATTGAATTTTGTGAAGATTCCTAAATTCCAAAACAAATATGCTTTCTTTCTGTCTAATGCAATTTGCAAGAAATAGGTGATTGTGGAAATATTTTGCATTAGAAAATTGCCGAAAATAATGTCCTTAAGGTAATAGAAAAGAACATCGAAAACGGAGTCCCACAGGGATCCGTAATAAGAGTAAGACATTTTCTTCTGACAATCAAAAATGCTGCCGTAGAAATTACTCCCTGACACTTATAAAATATATCTGTAACATCTCCATAATATGAAAGGCAATTTTCACGCCAAAGAATCTGCACTGACGAGCAGATTGATAAGATAATTAGATTCAAGCATATTGTGGGCCTCTAGGTGGAAGTGCCCACTCACCCTATCCTTAACCTGTGTAAGGTAGTGGTCAACCATGATGATTTTGCGTCTGAGAGTGAGGAGGAACTGCTCTCCTTTATCAAGAGCGAAGGTGTCACTTAGGTTTTCACGATCAAGGGGAAGAAGAACGGAAGAGAGACCCCCCACTCCCATTCTGATCCTGATGTTCAACCTCCCAGAAAGGATCACCTGCGGTTTTTACAATCTTCGCATGAAGCAGTATGTCCCGAACGCATTGTGCTGCTTTAAATACCAAATATTCGCCCATACGCAACAACACTGCATGTCAGTAAACCCTGTATGCGACAAGTGTGGCAGGTCAGATCACGGAGTTAGAACCCTGCGCTACAGCATTGCACTATGTGAACTGTTAAAGAGATCATGCGGCAAACTTTAAGAAGTTCCCTACCCTTTTAAAGGAGAGAGAGAGATCCAGAAGGTCCGAGTGAGCGAGATGTCCTTTCACGAGGCCAAACGGCCTTATTTGGCGAGGAACCCTGTAGATCTCTCTCGGTCTCTCTCCAGTACAATGAAGAAACCTACGAAGGCAACATCGAGCTGTCAAACTGAAACTTTATCATCTATATACCATGCAGCTTGTCAGGACTCCTTTGAAGAATTCACTCTAACCACCTACGCTACCGCTCCATCTGATATAAAGCCCAAAAAGCATGTAATGCAACAAATGCCCTAATTCGTACGTCAACGGAATCTATCAACAGACGTCTGTCACCCATGTCAAGGGATCAGAAATCCCCTTTCCCATCAGCGCTGGCTGCCCTCCCTAGCAGTAGTCAGGACGCCTCTGCTGTGGTCGAGGACTTGCCTTCGAGTGCTTGAAGCATTTTTCAGAAGGTGAGGAAGAGGAAAAAGAAGAAACCCACCCAAATTTCAATCATTACTCTCTCGTGGAATATGAACGGTTCCCGTTCCCATTTAGAAAAAGTAAGGTTAATAATCTCCCTCCATAACCCGTCCATTTTGAGCTTGCAGGAAACGCATCTTCGATCCTGACATTCCCTCTCCCTTCGCGATTTTCGCACGTAACGGTTCTCCAAGATGGCGGGCTTCGCGCTCATGGCGGAATCGCTATATTTATCCGCGACCACTTGCTCTACAAGCAACACATCATCCGAAGTGATCTCCAAACCATGTGCGTACGGCTGAATTTACCTTGAGCTCCCTGCCACTCTGTGCAATATATATATATATATATATATATATATATATATATATATATATATATATATATTCCATTCGCAGAAACCATATCACAGAAACAACTTGAAAATGTAATCTCCCAGCGACCGCAGTTTTTCTTCGCAAGCTGTGCTTGTAAGGTTTTAGAGCGAATGATGAACACGCGTCTCGTCTCACTCCCGGAACAGAGAAGCCTACTTACATCCATCTGGTGTGGTTTCAGGAAGAACAGGTCAACCATTGACCACTTTGCCAGCCTTGGTACACAGAACTCCACTTGTTTCGTACTATGTCAACACCTTGCAGCAATTTCCTTCGATATACGCTCCCGCCTTGGTGACAGAGTATCAGCCAGCCACCAGTTAGAAAACGGGGTCCCTCAGGGATCAATTTTGAGTATCACTGATTGCTATTGCTAACAGTAGTATAGCATCGATAATCCTAGAGTCAGTGAAAGCATCGCTCTTCTGACGACTTTGCCATTTTGTGTTCCTCCAAGGACATGCAAGTGATTGAGAGGGAGTTACAACTTGTCCTCAACAAAATTGCAGGTGTGGAGCGATGAAACAGGATTCACGTTCTCCACCTTAAAAACAAAATGTACGCGCTTCTGCAAGATTCATCATCTCCCAAACCATGCTGATAATTTTCTTGGGGATCATCAACTTCTCTTCGCCGAATCCTCAACTTTCCTTGGCCTGACGTGTGACAACAGAGTAACATGGCAAAAGCATGTTCAAACTTGAAGAGCCGATGTGTATCACCATTTATCCTCCTTCACGCCCTTACTGGTAGATCGTGGGGCTCAAACAGAGAACGTCTTGCACCTATACAGGACCATCCTCCGCCCTATCTTAGATTATGAATGAATTGTTTATGGGTCAGCTTCTCCATTCTGTCACTGAATACCATACACAGTGTCGGTATACGCAGCGCAGGCGCCTACCGCAGGAGTAGCATTGAATGCTCTTGGCCGAGGCTGGTGAACCATCCCTGAGCTGAAGGCGAGATATTGTAAAGGGCGCGTATGGCCTGAAAGTATCAGCAATAAATACTCCTTCGCGCTGAGCAGACCTTCACCCAACTCGCAGGTCATCATAAGTACTCAGACCGTCATTACCCCATCCCGACATCTGTCTTTTCACGCATTTGCAGAAACTCAATATAAAATGGCCCATGCTTGTGAAAACCCCCGAAGTCTTGTTTCCCCTTGGAAACTTCCCCGACCTAAAATAAAGCTGAGATTATCAAACTTTCCGAAATCCTCAACTTCTCCAGTGCAATTCTGGCGGAATTGGTTTATCAAACGCTTTATTCCCAGTACAGGGCAAACAGAGTGGCAGAACTTCAATTTTGGCTCACGAGAATCAAGGATTCCATAAAGCCTTGGCCTTCCTCATCTCGTGGCACTAGGCACGAGGAGAGTATTCTGACACGGATCGGTCAGATTGGTCACTGCCACTTCTCCCATGGGCATCTTCTCCCCAGTGACCCACCCCTACTTTGATAAGAATTGCGAGATGGATCGTGAGATTGCGTGGAGCTTGTCCTTTTGTACTGTTCTTGGGTAAGAGCCACCGAACGCATCACTTTGCTAGCTCTCTAGCAGAGGTACTTGGAAAAAATCTTATCTCTGCAAGCTCTTTAGTTTTAACAAGACGGGCACTTACAGCATTATCTGAGATATTCATCTTAGATGTTGAAGCGCCCTTAAACTTAATTCATCATCACCATAGTGATAGTGGCCCTATACTCTGGGCAAAGAGGAGGGACTTGTCTCGGCGCACGTGAGTAGCGCATTGTTTTGACTGCGACTCTACGTAAGCTGGATAGCTAGGAGCTCTGAGCTGGCAGGGCGGCCCGACCTAGGCATTGTACGATTTTCGTATGGGGCGGTTACGATGACGGCCAACGGCGTTCTGGCGGGATCCAGATACCTGCCTAAGGGCGTACTTGTATGCCTGGGGGTGCGGATAGAGGCTAGCGCCTAGATGCCCACCCCGGGGTGAATTCCTCCTCGTAAAGTACAAGGCGCACTGTCGACTACTACACACTGCCGCCAAAATAAAAACCAACATTAACATATACCAAATAAAAGGCTCACATTGTTGCAAACCTGCGAAAAAATCAATAAGGAACCTTTCACCTTTGCACCTAACCTAGGGTTCACTTGCATTATCTGGCTCGGAGAACCAAAAAGCTATGTAATGGAATTAGTCGACTGTACCCCTTTCCATTCCACACCGTGTACTTATTCTATTCCATCACGTGGGTAGTTCCTATGTGGTATCCATCCAAAGGTGTTTATCGGGTCTGTGTCTGAGGCGAAAGTCAAAGGAGTTTCGAAATTTCCTCCATAACCATCGTCGAAATCACACGATATGCGTACTGAAGTCGATCTGAGTCGGATTGTCGCGGCCGACTGAGAGGAAATGCATCTCTTGGTATAACAAAGGGATCATCTCCGTTGAAACAAATATCTGCACTCATGCGCCCTCCTTTTAGTATACTGTGGTATACTTGTTTTTAAATTTTTAATATTGTTGGCATGTGGGCAGCCAAATTAATACAAATTTGGCGCCACGTTTCAAGCATATTAAGTTTTGCTACTCTTTGAAGGTATTTAAGAAGATGATACATTTTAAACTTCCCGCGTTTGCAAATTCTCTCACAATTGACAAAAAATAATTTTGTATGAATTTCTTTGAGATGGCCTTCAACAACTTCCAAAAGTGACCGATCACATTTCCCCTAACCTGCCAGCAACGAAGTTGACGTATTGTAGATTTTCCTGGAAAAATGTTTCCACGCGACGAGATTGCATTGTTTGAGAATCTTTAGCCGCGAGCATTTTCGTAGCAATTACGTTGAGAAGCTAAGAAATACGCGTCTTAGGCGCATACAAAGTTGTTTGGTACGTTCACAGCAAGCAATTATCATGTAATCTCCGTGAACCAGCGCTCTGAGACGCAGTAGAAAGCAGAAAACATTAATGACGTGAAATTCGCAAGGAGAACGTTTATTTTTGTCCAGACAGCGGTAACGATAACAGTCTCTTCAATACTTAACGATTCTTACAGCAAGGTCTTTGTCAATTATGTGTCTTCTTCCAGAATTTTCTCTCCTGATGAGGACACAGCAAGGCGATGCAGAAAACGTCTCTCTTAGCAGTTTCTGCAAATGCTCTCCCAATCATCTAATCAATATATCTCCATATTAACAAATATATTTAATTAGTCAACTTGTGAAATATCTGTTTGCCCCCACTTATTTGCTTAGTTAATCTTATTGCCTGACTAATATTGCGTTTATCAATGTTATAAATTATTTAATTTTGCCCTGCTATGCTCATATATTTTCTTAGTCCTCAACTGTTATTATCACAATCCAACTTTTATTCTTGATCGGGGATCTCAATATGCAATCGATTACCTGTCGTATGTGGACGTGCAATTCTCTTTTGTTAACTTATTTAAAGTTAACTTATTGAAATGATAGCAAATAACTACAAATTATCAGTCTTTTCTTTTTCAATAATAATTTAACATTTATTGTAATACTGATACAAATTATATTGAGCTCATTAGTGATATTATTGACGTTTCCTAGGTGCAATACTTATAGTTCCGTACGGTTCTGATTTACATTTCATGGGCGTACTGTGATCTTCGCGCGCTATAACGTCTTCCAATTCTCCTAGCTTGAGATCGTTCGTAGGATGCACAGAATAATAAAGGATAGACGTTCACCCTCAATGTTAAACGTCGGATACAAAAGTTGCTCGCAGCACTTGGAGTGACCTGGCAAAGAACTGCATAAACCGCTCGCCCAGCGCAGCGTATGAAAGTTAATTTCATTCAATCGTCTTCGCGAAAGTTAATGGATATTAATGGGCTAATTATACTGCAATTTTTCTAAAATAAAGTAATTATCTATTTTCGTAATGCACTTGGCTAAGGTCGTAACTGAGGAGAATCATCTAATTATATGGTAATGGGAGAAATGAAGGTATCAAAATGAATAGACAAAGAAATATGTAAATAAATAACTCATTTCCTTTATTGTACAATTTACATTAAGCAATATTCAATACAGACTTCAGTATTTTAAATTTGTTCACCTTTTCATGGCCTTTTGTATATTTTCTTTTTGTTTGTATTTTCTGATTTTCATCTATTACATATTTTTAATTTAAAAAACGAACACACTTTTTAAAAATACGTTCTTCGTATAAATGCACTTAAAACAATGTATCATCAGGTGATTTGGAATTAGAGCAAAACCTTGTCTCCAAATTATTTAAATGGCCATTTGCTTTCTAGAAATGTATACAAATATTCATGAACATTCTTTAAAAACATTACATTAAATAACAAATCATAGTAAATCATTACATTACATAACAAAAAATACATGTTTTCTTTTCAGTGTTATGTGAATACAGTATGCTAAAACTTTCGTGTACGTAACAAATAATCGGGAATGACACTTTACATTAAATGCGAAACATCCACTAAGACCAGCAAATTGAAACGGAGAAAACTCGAATCTGTTGCAATTGTGTCCGCTAAATCAAAATAACTTGAAATTTGAAACACACATGAACGCACAGAACACTAAAGGAACGCATGAACGTAACCAATAGTAATAAGATTTACTCTTCCGCCATGAGGAAAACGCATGCTGGCTGGATGTGACGTACAAAAAACAAGCCAAATCCACTAACCAATCATTGCTTGATATTATTTCAACTAGCGCTCGAAGTGGCCTGGCAATACGTTGCCCATTTCCACTGGCACCGCTTTCTTCACCTGTTGATCGGAGACGAATCGACGGCCTCTCAGATTATTTTTAAGTGGACCAAACGGTTGGCAAGCCGACAGGGCGAGACAGGGACTGAACGCAGGATTCTGCAACAACTCGAAACGCAGCTTCTGAAGAGTGTGAACGGTGAGGACCGCGGGATGTGGACGTGCATTGTCCACAAGAAA